AACGTACAAATTGAAATATTATGTTTCGACATTAAAATAAATAGAAAGTATTATGTTAGAGTGGAAAAGATTTGAATAAAAATAAATAAAATCAGTGAAATATGTACAAGTGACCTACAAATTGTATGATTTACAATGGCTCTGAAGCATCAGTAGGGTTTTACATTTTTTACCCCGCAAATACATCACTTGTTTTCATTACTCATTGGACTTTATTTTGATATTCTAAGATTTCACAGTCAAGTTAATCTGAAAGCATTTCCTGCATACTTTATTAAAATAGGGCAGGATAAATTTACAGAAATTAGTTACTTGTAGCCTACCAGAATGTGTCGTTGTCAGCAAACGAATCAGCCCGACATGCAAATATAAAAATTGCAGATACTAAAATTAAATAAGTTAAAAATTAAAGCATTTCGCAATTGTTTTAACAGAAGACGGTCAAATACGACCCTGATGGTGCATTGAAATAACGAACACTGCCTTCACACCGACCTGACGTGGCTTCCCTCTGTATTTTCTACAAATATTTTCATAACTTCTCAAATAAGCTTTTTCCCTTGGTACCCAGTGCATTTGGATTGAAACGTGCTACTAGATTGGCATTTAGGTCTCATTATTGAAATAGTTAACCGCCAGTACTACTCCAACAATTTCTTTTCTCGCGCTTCCCAACAGCGGAACTCCATTCCTCTTAGTTGCTTCCCTGGTAAATACAATCTTCAAAAAATTAAATGCAACGCCAATCGCCATTTTCTATCTTCTCGAATCCCGTTCATCTTTTATCCTTCCTCTATATCCAGTCTTTTCTCTCATTTTCACTCCCTGTAAACCCCTGTGCACTAATAGCATTCCCGGCTTTCTTGGTGTGAAATGATTTAAAAAAAGAAAAAGAAAAGAAAAAGCTTATTAAGAAAGAGAAAAATCTTCGATAAAAAAAAAGGCAAGAGTTCTGATCTGTTATGCAATATCAGTCCACTTATATGGCAATGGATGCAGGACAATCTCTTCACAAATGAAGAAGAGACTTCAGGCAACAAAAGTGTAGTTCTACAGAAGGATACTGAGAATACTATGGACTGAACATTTGAGCAACGAGCGAAAATAAAAAAAAATGATGATATTTAATCGTAGCATCGGGGACAGTTGAAATTTCTAAGGCACACAATAAGGAAAGAAGGTTAGGAAAATTTGGCACTCACAAGACATGGTGAACATAATAAGAACAAAAGCAGAGTATAACCTACTATTATTTTCCGTGCTAATAGGAATATATACTTTAAAAACAAGGTGGTCAGAATAAGTAATTGTTCATTGTAAAAACCATTACACAATGAATAAAGGTAACAGTTATGCACAGGGTCGTTGCAAGTCAATCTAGTAGTGAGTGCTACAGATGGAAGGTCGATAGTTCTCGCGTAAGTTTGAGTCGTACTCAACAGATCCCAGCTAGAAATATTTACCAACCTACCCACGGGGTAGTATGTGACAAAAGGCCGAATTTAAGGTGGGCCAATCCAAGCCCGAAGGCTCGGCCTAAAATTCCTCGTAAACCTCACATAAACAGGTTCGAGCCTGTCTACCTCCTCGGGTGAGACTCTACCCTTCAGCATACCCTCGTCCGCGGTCCTCCCTGCCCGAAGGCAGAGAGTTCGACAACAGCTAAGAGCTGAGTAAGAGATCCCAGCTAGAAATATATACTAACCTCCCCACGAGGTAGGATGTGGCATAAGGCCGAATTCCCTGTAACCCCGCATAAACGGGTTTCCTTGTCTGCCTACCTCCCCAGATGAGACTCTGCTCTTCGGCATAGCCTCTTCTGACAAGGGCTAAGATCTGAGTAACAAATCCCAACTAGAGTCATATGTTGCCCAAGGCCGAATTTAATGTGGGTTTCCCTGAGCCCGTAGGCTTGGCCAAAATATCCCCGTAGACCCAACATAACCTCTCGAACGAGACTGTCCCGGAGGCAGAGATTTCGACACTCAGCTAAGATCTGAGTAACAAATCTTAGCTAGACTCTGTAGTCCGTTGACTTACAGATAACTATAGGCAGTTACTACCGATAGTGTAGTCACTTATGAAGGTGACAGGTTATTCCATTACATCACCTACCTAAAAAGTTTGTATAAACGCCCCGCCTATTTTAAGGTGATTGGAATTTCAAACTGAATCCTTTATTTCGTACATCGGCGCAGATTGTTCTAGTTCTACGTGCCATGTCTCTTCTGGATGTCTCAGTATTAGTTATCTCCCTTTTAACTCAACGCTCCAAGTTTTTGTTCACCTCTGCTATAACCAGGATTTGAACTCATAACTCTTTGGGTCAAGTAATTGGATTCAACCTAGTGTTGTCTATTTTAACGAATGAATAAAAAATTTGGCAGATTCTCTTGTACTGCATATGCAGCAAAATTGTCCAATCAAATCATTGTCCATCCAACAAAATGTTTAATATCAAAAACTAAACTAATTGAGTTTCTTTTTCCCTGATTTCACATAAAAAGTTTAGCCATCGTGACACCACTTGTCGTAAGAATGACTGAAAAAAAAACTCAGCTAGAATGAAAACAGGTTAAAATCGTTTTAAGTCAGCTATACTATCTTCCCAACTGAGCAATGGCGAGAGGAAAAAAAGATCATTCAGACCTTCGGTAATGTTACCAACATAGATATTCTGGCTTCCATCTTCAAATTCCATTCAAAAACCATCAAGAGAATGGTGAATAAGTTTAAAAAGAGGAAACAGTTGAGGGGAAAAGTGTATCAGACGGTAATAACAACAAAAGGTTCAATAGTTTCATCGTAGATCCAAAGCGATCAATTAGAAAAGATCCAACTCAATCTATAAGACGTTTGACACGTGAGAAAAGAATTTTAGCTATGACAGTCCAAAGAGCAGTGAAAAAAGACTTGAAAATTAAATCATACATGAAACGTGTGAGGCACCTTGTTACTCCAAGACAGTTAGGAGGTTAAAGAGGGCGAAGATCATCTTGGATAAGTTGGAAAATGACCTTGGTATAATATATATATATATATATATATATATATATATATATATATATATATAGCAGCATGGCCCGTCGTTTCCCGTGCTTGATTCAAAAATCGTACGACTCATACAGCAATCGCTATCACTTGACTTAAAATATTTTTGCCCTTCCTTGACTTTAAAGGAGTGCCTTTTGCCGTGCTGATGTTGCTACATGCCTTATTTCTTGCCTATCTCACACTGCAAATTTTTTCTAAGCTCTATACTAAACATTAAATCTGTTACGAAAAAAGAACTAAACAAAATGAACACAAAACGATCAGCTTTACAAAAGGACTCGTAACTGGAAAAACCGAATGAAAAAAGAATGTTAACAACAAATACTTTTTCACACCCAACCCAGTTCTGCGGAATCAGAATCAACGTTGAGTTTAAGCAAGCGCATGAGCAAACTGGAGTAAAGTGTCATGCAGATTTAAATTTTTTTCCACTTGTGACGTATGCAGCTATCGATTTTTTTTTTTGGCTAGTTAACATTCGTCTCAGTCAGCTGTTGGCTCTCACGCTGGTCAATAGAATCTTCCTGCCTATTCGTGGCAGCCAACTATAGGCTCTCACTCTGGCCAGTAAAAAATGGCCGTAAACTACATGAAGTCCAATAGTGCTATAAAAGCCTCGGAAAATATAAGTAAGATATCTTTAATTATTTCTAAAATACAACGGTTCAGACCTTAATCTAACAAATGGACAACTTTGCTTTTACACTTTTTTGACACGTTTGCTGTTATACGCTATGTAATGGTTAATAAAGGCAATAACTTTACGTGTTAGTCTCTGTGAGTGTCGGTATTATATCATTTTCCCGTGTTAATAACTATCTTGAACTGTTAAAAGCAATGAGATTGTCCGAGAGTCTTTTCACTGTGCGCCTGTAAGAATATCAGCCATTTTGAAAGTGGATTATGGGTAGAAAAATACAATTTTCCCAGTAGGCTTCTCAACAGTTTTATCATTTATCCCTAAAATAACTCACAGTATTCAGACTACTAATTTTAAATTAAATTAGGACATGGATTACGTTCTGACTTAGCTTAATATTTAAATATTAGCGTCAATGTTTGATGGCACGAATTACAGAGTTATTTATAATTCCTAACATAGAAAGAAAAATCGCTGACCATCGCAAATTATTATATTGAAACAGCTTGCAAGAGCAATGTTTGTAATCAAATGAAATTCCCTAAAAACGCAAAACAAATTCAGCTAATTACATACCCTTATTCGTTTATTTTGGCATGTATGAACCAGGAAATACCAAAATAGTTGTCTTGTATCAAGAATGTTAGATATATTGTGTTGGTTTGTATTACGAGAATATTAAAGTAATCATTTAACATTACGTCCTTGACAGGTTCCACTGAATGATGTTGAGGATACCCTGGACCGAATATCTGAGCACGACGAATGGAAACAATGAAGAAACTTCCATTTAAAATCAGTAAGAGGCAGTTGTTAAAACACACACGCACACACATACATACACACATACACATATATATATTTCACTAAAGACGACAGACAAGGTACTATGATTAAGCCTTTTATTTAACTTTTCTTGTGGTGGAACAAGTTTTTTTTTTTTTTTTTTTTTTTTTTTTTTTTTTTTGTGAAACTTTCCAAATGTTGTATAATTCCGAGCGCTTTCGGCTATCCCTTTAGCCATTATCAAGGATGGTTTTATTTTTTCAATTTATTTGGGTGTGTGGGTTGTGTGTATGTTTTTAGTGTCATCGGGATGTTTTATTTTCCGAACACGGTCAGAATATTCTGGCCGTGTTCGTAGTTAATATTATTAGATGTTGGCTTTTTCTTTTTTATTTTTAAAGCATCCATTATTTTTAACCTTCCTTTACATGTGAATGAGGTTATTATGTTTGTATTTTCTACTAGTATGTTTCGGATGGAGTCTGGTAAATTTCTGTGTGTGTTTAAATGGATTCTAATAGCGCTGTGGTCAGACAGATGTAACGTAAGGCGTCTGGATAGGCATGTAGTCGTGTGACCGATGTAATTATTTATGAATTCGGTTTGATTAGAAACTGTAATCCTGATCACCCCCCCCCAAAAAAAAATATAAAGTCATCCTTGATAATGGCTAAAAGTATAGCCGGAAGCACTGGGAATTACAGAACATTTGGACAATTTCTACACATTCCGTGTCACAAAACGACAAAATTTGTAATTTTCTTTCTTTCTTTATTCCTTTCTTTCTTTCTTTTTCTTTCCTTTCATTCCTTTCTTTTTTTTCTTTTTCATTTTCTTTTTTTTCATTTCTTTCTTCATTTCTTTCTTTCATTTCTTTCTTTCTTTTTCTTTCTTCATTCCTCTTTTTTCTTTCTTTTTTCTTGAAGGATTTCTTTCTTAATTCCTTTCTTTCTTTCTTTCTTTCTTCATTTTTTCTTTTTTTTCTTCATTCCTCTTTTCTTTTCCTTCTGAAGGATTATATATATATATATATATATATATATATATATATATATATATATATATATATAAATATAAAAAGAAAGAACAGTAAGATATAAAATCCGGTGTTCTTATAGATATTTTTATTTTTACAAAATAGTGCTCAATGTAAATTTACAGAGCACTAATATTATAAATTAATTGATTTAAAATATGGTTTTTTTTTTCCGCACCATATTTTAAATCAATTAATTTATAATTAATATATATATATATATATATATATATATATATATATATGCATGTTTAATTAAATAATATAGACAATTTTTTTAATAATGATGCCAATAAATGGTAACAGAATCCATTGGTTTATACCAACGACTTTGCCATACATAATACTTCTCGTTTTCACTCTCGCGTAGTCATGCGTGACGTCACGAGCTGCGATGAGATTTTCGCTAACGCGTCTAGTATACACGAGTTTGTCGTTGCTTTGAAATTTTTCACGCAACAAAAACAGTCTACCATTATTGTTTTGTCCATGTAATGTTTAATATATTGAAATGCAATAGTCATCTTTGATAATGGCTTATGTAAGTGGAAAGGTTAGATAGGATTAAAACATTTATCAATATGGTAATTTTCTTTCGTCTTTCAATGATAATGTTATTAAACTTATCAGACAATATGAAAGAAACTTACTTAAAATAAATAGACAAAACTTGTCTGTATTATGTAATGAAAAAATGCATCAATGAAAATTGCTGCTAAAATAATATATATATATATATATATATATATATATATATATATATATATATATATATATATATATATAATTTGATATATGCTGTAAGATTGTATATATGCATGGTGCAACGGTTACTGGCTTAGAATTGCAAGTTGGATAGTCGAGTACCAATTTCAGTCAGGTACATTATATTAATTTAGGCACAAATACCATTGGTAAGGATGAAATTACCTCTTTTCCTCCTATATGGGTTAAATAGTAAGGTGTATAAAAATAGCATTTTATTATCGCAAAACAATTCTTACAATCAAAAAATATTTTCTGGCTTTAATTAACCTCCAGAAATTTTATAAGCCTAAAAAATTAATCACTCAAGTACCACACAAATAGCACACATGATATATATATATATATATATATATATATATATATATATATATATATATATATATATGTGTGTGGGGGGGTGTCCATATATGCGTCTGTTTCTATTTTTCCCAACTCGTCTGCGATTTTCTTTTGGTCTTTTCTATATGAGCATCTGTCGGGTTAAACGGAATAATTTTAATTAAAATGAGGATCGTTGACAAGTTTCTGCCCAAATTTTGTTTACACTCTGATTTTTTTTTTACCTTTGATTCTCTCAACAGGAAGTGGACGGACATAAATTCATATTTATTCCAGCAATGAAGAAAAAAAATATTATAAAATGTTGGAAGGGGAAAAAGCAAAGAAGACGAAAAAGTAAAGAAATAAAGAAGGAAGTGAATTCACCGAGACAGTGTAGAAGAAGAGAGAGAAGAGAAAGAAAGAAAGAAAGAAAGAAAGAAAGAAAGAAAGAAAGGAATGAAGAAAGGAAGAAAGGGATGAACAAAGAAAGAAAGAAAGAAAGAAAGGAATGAAGAAAAAAGAAAGAAAGAAAGGAATAAAGAAAGAAAGAAGGAATGAAGAAAGAAAGAAAGAAAGGAATAAAGAAAGAAAGGAATGAAGAAAGAAAGAAAGGAATGTAGAAAGAAAGAAAGAAAGAAAGGAATGATGAAAGAAGTAAAGGAATGAAGAAAGAAAGAAAGAAAGAAGGAAAGAAAAGAATGAAAAAAGAAAGAAAGAAAGGAATGAAGAAAGGAATGAAAAAAGAAAGAAAGAAAGGAATGAAGAAAGGAAGAAAGGGATGAAGAAAGAAAGAAAGAAAGAAATGAAGAAAGGAAGAAAGGGATAAAGAAAGAAAGAAAGAAAGAAAGGAATGAAGAAAAAAGAAAGAAAGAAGGAAAGAAAGGAATGAAAAAAGAAAGAAAGAAAGAAAGGAATGAAGAAAGGAATGAAAAAGAAAGAAAGAAAGGAATGAAGAAAGGAAGAAAGGGATGAAGAAAGAAAGAAAGAAAGAAAGAAAGGAATGAAGAAAAAAGAAAGAAAGAAAGGAATAAAGAAAGAAAGAAGGATTGAAGAAAGAAAGAAAGGAATTTAGAAAGAAAGAAAGAAAGAAAGAAAGAAAGGAATGATGAAAGAATGAAAGGAATGAAGAAAGAAACAAAGAAAGAAGGAAAGAAAGAAAGGAATGAAGAAAGAAAGAAAGAAAGAATGAAAGAAAGGAATGAAGAAAGAAAGGAATGAAGAAAGAAAGGAATGAAGAAAGAAAGAAAGGAATGAAGAAAGAAAGGAATAAAGAAAGAAAGAAACAAAGGAATGAAGAAAGAAAGAAAGAAAGAAACAAAGGAATAAAGAAAGAAAGAAAGAAAGAAAGAAAGAAAGAAATGAAGAAGAAATAAAGAAAGAAAGAAAGAAAGAAAGGAATAAAGAAAGAAAGAAAGAAAGAAATGAAGAAAGAAAGAAAGCAAGAAAGAAAGAAAGCAAGAAAAAAAGAAAGACAGAAAGAAAGAAAGGAATGAAGAAAGAAAGAAATAAAGAGATGAAGGAAGGAATAAGTTTGGTTTGCTTTACAAAGCAACTTCGGTTCTCGAACGTTTCACATGTCGAACAAATCTATTTTCGAACAGAAAATTCTAGATGAAAATGCCTCGGTTATCGAACAAAATTTCGAGTCTCGAACAACATTGCAGAACCAAGCCGAGCCGTGTTAACCCGAATTGAATGCTTTCTGAGTCAACCGCCATATTGTATACATTCGTGTGTTTTGTGTTGTGTTTTTCTCTTCCAATTTTATTGTACTATGCTTTTCTTTCCTTCTTCATTAGCCCTTAGTCATGGCTCCTAAAAAGCTAGCAGTGATACCGGTAAAGGAAAACAAAAGTTAAGAGAAAAACAATTGTTGATTATATTGTCTCTATGATGATGATATTGTCTCTTCCTACTCAGTTCCATATGTCAAAATCAACGATCTATACTATTCCTATCAATAAAGAGACGATCATATCTTTTCTTACCCTTTCTAATCATCTCTTCCCTTCTCCTTGCACTTACGCTATCAATTCTCCTGCATGTCGGCACGGTAAAATTAAATTGTTCGTCTATATTTTACCTGTTTAGTATTGAGCATATTTATATTTTCCTAGATTTAATGAATTTCATTAGCTTTGTGTATAATGCTGTGCACAATATAGTGTTGTTAAAGTTTAAATAATCGATAATCTTGGGACCAGGAACAGATTAATACATTGATTCCTATAGGAAAAATAGTTTCGGTTTACAAATATTTCGGGTTACGAACGGGTTCAAGGAACGAATTAAATTCGTGAACCGAAGTTCCACTGTATTTTGCTTTGGGGCATATCAACCTCAAGAGGCTATTTAATACCGGCAAGTGTTTTAGGATAGGTTCGTTTGAATAGAATATGAATTCTTTTATAGAAATCACTGCGTGGATAATGTGTTATTGACGTATTAGAAGGAACATTAAAAAGAAATCCTTTTTAAAGAATATGTGATAGAAATAAAGGGAAAAGAAAATAGAAGACATTTTTTTATTTCTTTTTATTTGCCGTGTCCTTTCAGGCGATCATGGCTTCCCACTTCCCCCTATCCTTTAGCTCTCAATATGCTTCGTCCCTCGGCCAACTACCCTAGACCACGTTCTGTCATCGACTTGCTTAAGCCCACTAGGTATGTCATGCGTTGTTTTCCCTTGTCTCTCTTTTCCTCTATCTCATTATGTGTCACAAAAACTTCAGCAGCCTCTTCCTGATGTTAACTCTAAGCCTCCTTCTTGTTTGTATCCTCTCCAAGATTTCATCATTGTTCACACACTCGGTCCATGATATCCTTAGCATCCTTCTGTAGAACTACATTTTTGTTGCCTGAAGTCTCTTCTTCATCTTTGAGAAGGTAGTCCAATATTCGCTGCCGTAAAGAAAGGCAGATGTCATGTAAAAGCCCAGTACTCTTTTCTTTGTTACCAAAGAAATCCTCCTGCCTTGCAATAATCTGTCCAATTTTGGAATGCTTCCTTGGCCATCTACGGATCTCAGTGTCGCACTTACCGTTCTCTGACAAAACACTTCCCAGATATTTAAACTGATGCACCAGCTTGATTTTAGTGTCCCCCGACCTGCAAAATCGCATTTCGGACTCATTCTTTTACTGGTGACCATTCATTCTGTAGAAGACATTAAAAGAATATAAGGAAAGAAGAAGAAAAATAAAAGAAAGAAAAATGGTTGCAATAAAACAAAGTAATTTTAAAAAAAATAAAGAAAAGGAAGAAAGAAGGAATTAAATATGTAGAAAGAAAGTAACAGATAAAATAGAGTGAAATTAGAAAAAACAATGAAGGAAAAAAGAAAAAATGGTTAAAATAAAACTAAATATGTTGAAAAGAATAACTGATAGAAAGAAAGAAAAAAAATGTAGAAAAAAATAAACCACACATTCAGAAAGAAAGATGAACATGCTTTTACAATGACAGTGTAAAAAGCGATCATGTGTAAAATAGAAAAAGAAAGAAAGAAAAAAGATGAGAAACAAAAGAAGACTGAAAAATCTCTAAGCATAGAAAAAAAAAAGAGAAAAAAAGATTTTTTAAATAGTTCAGAGAATATAAAGGAAATAATTCATTTAAAAGTCGAAAAAATAAAATTTAAACAACCAAGATATCAATTCCCTAAAGATAAATAATTTAATCAAATAATAAAGTAAATGGCAAAAAATAATAATAATAATGGCGGGGAAAAATGAAAAAAAAAAAACAAACAAACAAGAATGCAATCATTGAAAATGTAACTTGCAAAGATCATGGCATTTTCCCATTTTGTCAGTAACGCAAGATTAACAAATCTAAAAAAGCTCAAGAGAGTAAGTTTTAGAAAAACAAGCCACAATTCACGTC